AATGAGGTCAAGCACAGGCGCGCGTGCGCGGACACACACACACACAGACACACACACAGATACACACACACACGCCCGCACGCCAGAGAGCCACAGTGTCCCAATGACCGTGTGGGAGGCCTCAAATCCAGCCCTGCTGTTCACTTCTACCTAAGCCCATAAATTCATTTTCTTTGTTTAACTTGAATTGGGCTTGAATTTGTTTACAACCAAAAGGGTCTCATTCAGGTAAAAAGTTAGCGGGGTCTCAAGCGGTCACGTTCGGTAGACCCAAGCGCAGTCATCAGCCGTTTGCACTGTACTGTGCTGACATTTTCGTGTATATTTCTCAGGCCTGTCCTGTAGGAGTGTTGTTCTTACTTTCCGCCTGCTTAACTGATGGGGAAACTGAGACAAAGACGCATGCCTAAGGTACAGTGCTAGGAAGTAATGGAGCTGGGTCTGTGCTCTGCCTGCCCCCACCATGCTCTCTCTCCAGGGTTCCAAGCCAGGTCTCCCATGACATCCTTGGGGACAAGTAGGAGACACAGAGGCTGCAGGTAAATGGATCCGGAGTGCTCTGGGCTCTGGGCCACTCATCAGCTTGCACTGCTGAGGTCTTGGCTCTTCCCTCCGCTCTCCCCTACCAAGTGCTAGGAGTGGATTTTGGATGCAGGAATAACCCAACCTAGTCTCTACCTTTAAGAGGTTCTCAGTCTGATGGGGGAGACATGCATTCAAATGACTTTATGATGCAGTGAGAAGATAGAAGGGAACAATAAATAATTTCTTTAAATAACCTTTTTTCTTCTTTTGAAAATTATGACATGCTTTTTGCTGACAAATTTTGGGAAATACAGAGAAGCAAGGTGGTGGGGGAGGGGGAAGGTAATGAAACCAAGATGCATAATCCTGCCACTTAGAAGTGTTGTTGACACTGTAGACATTTTGTCATACTTCCTTCCAATCTTTCTTCTAACTTTTTTTTAACAGAGCTCAGACCAGGTTGTCATGCAAATTTATTACTTCCTTTTTACTCAGTATTGTTCCTGCTCATTTCCCCATTTGTTATCAGAAATGTATAAAGAGGCTATTTTAATAGCTATACAGTAGATTATTGTAGGGGCACCTGGGTGGCTCAGTGGGTTAAGCCTCTGCCTTCAGCTCAGGTCATGATTCCTGGGGTCCTGGGATGGGGCCCCCATTGGGCTCCCTGCTCAGCAGGGAACCTGCTTCCCCTCCCCCCGCCTTTGCTTGCCTACTTGTGAATTCTCTCTTGTCAAATGAATAAATAAAATCTTTTTTTTTTTTTTAAATAGGCTATTGTATGGCTATACCAGAATTTACTTAACTCTTCTCCAATGACTTTCAGATTATTTCCAACTTTTTGTTAAGGAGAAACTAACTCAAACATCATGGGAGGGCGCCTGGGTGGCTCAGTGGGTTGAAGCCTCTGCCTTCGGCTCAGGTCATGATCCCAGGGTCCTGGGATCGAGCCCCACATCGGGCTCTCTGCTCTGCGGGGAGCCTGCTTCCTCCTCTCTCTCTCTCTGCCTGCCTCTCTGCCTACTTGTGATCTCTGTCAAATAAATAAATAAATAAAAAAATCTTAAAAAAAAAAAAACATCATGGGAAAAATGGGGGAGGTGGGGATCAAGAAGATAGATGACCTCAGATTTGGTCTTTGAGGAAAGAGTAGCTATTTGCTGGAGGTGAAGAAAGGCGTTCTGCCTTCTGGAGCCACTGGTGGGCTGGGGAACAGTTATAATTATCCAGAGGTAAGGGGACCTGAATAGGGCAGTGGACCCAAGTGGGGACGGACTGATATGAGCAGCATCTTTGAGCCCTGATGGGTGGGGAATTGCATGGAGCAGAGAGGGGACAAAGAGGATCCCTGTTGATCTGCATTTTGGAAAGCCTGGGGGGAGAGGATGAGGAAAGGCAGGGAGCAAACAACCAAGTCTCCTAGTGCCCCCTGCTGACCTGCCATGTCACTCAGGCCAGGTGACTTTCTGTCTTGAAGCCCTTTTTGGCAATCCAAGCCTAAAAATACCCACTGCTTGTCTCTTCCCCGGCCAGCCTAGGGTCTCTGTAAGTTGAGATCTAAGAGTTAGTACCCTTGATGAGCAGGGGCTGAAAATGTGAACTTGGGTGTGGTTTGGCCTGAACACTCGGTAGATGTTGGATTGTGTCTGTTTTGTAAACTTTCCATGCTAAGCGTAAAAAATAGTGAAGCTGGGTTAAGGACTTTGCCCAGAGAGCTGGAAAGTTGTAAACAGATGATCCTAATGCAACTGGCAGCCTTGTTCTGTATGTTGGGATTGCCCTGAGGATTTCTTGTCTGAGGCTGGGAAAGAAGTTTTCCACAGGACTCTTTCTAGAAGATATTCATAATGTGACAAATACTCCGAGTGTGTTCTCTGTGCCAGCCCCCGTATTAAGTACTGGGCTTACATCAGGAAACAGAATAAACATCTTTGTCCTCATAGGGCTTGTGTTCTACTGATGGAAGACGGAAAAATAGGCAAACTATGTATTATGGTAGAGATTAAGTGATACAGGGGGAAAATAGAGCATGGGAAGAGGGGACTCGGGAGTGCATGTGAGGGGCTTGGCAATTTTACTAAGGGTGGCCAAGGAAGGCCTCACTGAGTGAGAATATTTGAACAAATCCTTGAAGAACATGAGGGAGGGACTATTGAGGTATCCAAGGGAACAGTGATCCTAGCAAATGGAAGAGCCAGTGCAAAGGATTTGAGGCAGAGGGTGCTTGGCTTGTTTTAGGAACAGCAAGAGGTCAGGGTAGAGGGAAAGGAGAGGTGGGGATGAGGTCAGATACGCCTGGGTGTGTAGAATGCCAAATCAAGCAAAACTTAGGTTTTTGTTGTTGTTGTTGTTTTGTTTTTTAAAGATTTTATTTTATTTTAAAAAATATTTTATTTAGGGGCGCCTGGGTGGCTCAGTGAGTTAATCCTCTGCCTTCTGCTCGGGTCATGATCTCAGGGTCCTGGGATCGAGCCCTGCATCGGGCTCTCTGCTCAGCAGGGAGCCTGCCTCCTCTTCTCTCTCTCTGCCTGCCTCTCTGCCTGCCTCTCATCTCTCTCTGTCAACTAAATAAATAAAATATCGATTTTATTTATTTAGTTGACAGAGAGAGATCACAAGTAAGCAGAGCAGCAGAAGGCAGAGGATTAACTCACTGAGCCACCCAGGTGCCCTAAAGATTTTTATTTTTATTTATTTGTCAGAAAGAGAGAGAGAGAGAGAGTGCTTGCGCACGCGCGCGCGCAAGCTGGAGGAGAGGCAGGCAGAGGGAGAAGCAGACTCCCAGCTGAGCGAGGAGCCCAATGTGTGACTCCATCCTGGAACCCTGGGATCATGATCTGAGCCGAAGGCAGATGCTTAACCCACTGAGCCACCCAGGTGCCCCAATAAATAAATTGTTTTCTTTAAAAATTTTTAAAATAAAATAAAAGACTTTCTGTGGCTCCAATCCTGACATAGCCCGGGGCAAGTTTGGAAAAAGGAAATGGGTTAGGCGAACAGTTGTGATACTCTTGGTCAGTATAACAGATTACCATAGACCGGGTGGTTTATCAACAACAGAAATTTATTTCTCACAGTTCTGGAGGTTGTAAGTCTGAGATCAGGTTGCCTGACAGCATGATTGGGATCTACAAGAAGCCTCTCCTGGGTTACAGATTGCCAACCACTTCTATTCTCACATGGCAGAAAGGCTAGACAGCTCTCCGGGATCCTTTTTATAAGGGAACTAATCCCATTCATGAGGGCTGCACTCTCATGACCGAATGACATCCCAAAGTCCCCACCTCCAATACCATCATATTGGGCTAGGATTTCAACAAATGCATTTGGGGGGGACTCATTCCGTGTACAACAAGAATATTGCAGTGATCCTTGGCAGAAGCTGGATGAGGGTGTTAGCAGTGGAGATGGGGTGGAAAAGATCAGAGTCTAGGTACATTTTGCAGGTAGAGCCAGGGATTTTCTGCTTCAGTGGGTAAGGAGGTGGGAGGAAGGATTCAGGGATGACTCCAGGAGTTTTGACCTGGGCACTGGAAAGACAGAGCTGCCAACCGCTGTTGGGGGAGGCTGTGAAGGTGTAGGTTTGTATGTGTTTGGAAGGGACATTGACTTTGGATGCCTACTGGATCTCAAGTATGCGGGTGTTAAGTAGACAATTCAGGGGAGGAGTCTGGGCAGGGGATATAAATAAATTTGGGGATCTGGAAGACACCAATGCCGGAACTTGATCGGATTCTGTTTTTCAGTTAACCTGGGTAAGGTGTGGACCTGGCAAACAGCAGTGGAGTAGGCAGCTTGAATGACATCCGAAAACTTTTTGCTCATTAGGCTGCCTAGAGACAGGCGGGGCAAGAATGAAGCGCCCCTAAGTGGAATGGGAAGGAAGTCTCTTTCTCTGCTCTGCAATTTTACCTCGCGTGATTGCATACAGCGCTTCGGTACATATTAATTTCCCAACTCCACATGCATCCTTCGCTCGATAAGTAACTATGATGTATTGTTCCATCTTCAAAACAGGCCCAAATGGAGGAAATTAGGGTTAAGAAAAGTGAAATGCCAGAGAGCTCGCGAGTGTCGGGGACAGACCCTGGAGCCCAGGACTCGATCCGTGCACCCCCGGAAGCTCCGTGGTGGGTAGGGTTGGGGAGTCGAATTGAGGTGAGGGCGACGACGACTCCTGGGGGGTTTGATAGCGAGCAGCGGGAGAACCGAGGTCGCTCCCACCACCTCGCGGCGGGCTGCGGGTTTCGGGTGCGGCCCCTTTAAGGCCAGGCGGGTGATCTCAGCCGCGCGCTCGCCGCCCCGCCCTCCCCGGAGGCTTGCTTAGTGCGCAGGCGCGCCGCGGCGGCACTCCGCTGGGCCCCGGACCCGCCGGCGGCGGCGAAACACCGGGGCTGCGGCGCAGCCCGCCCGCCCCCCCCCCCCCCCCCCGAGTCCGGCCGCCGCGCGCTGTCCGCACACGCCACCACTGCCGCAGCCATGGGCTCTTGAGGTACCCGGCCCGGCCGGCCTCGCGCCGGAGGCCCTGAGGGGGGCAGCTGCGGGCTTCCGGGGGCGGGGGGCTGCTCGGTTTTGGGGAGGCCCCGCGCGGAGGGGGGGTGCCCCACGGGTCGCGTTGGCCGCAGGTCCCCGGGCGGGGAAGGCACGAAGGTGGCCGGCCTGGTGGAGGAGGGAGGGGGTGTCCGCCTTCCAGCCGGTCCCGCCCTGCGCCCCTTCTTTGCCCTGCGGGGTCGCGGGGCCGCCCGTGGGTGTGCCTTGGCCCCCTCCTGGCCAACGTGGCAGGCCCTCGCCTAGAGTGTAATTGGACCTGCCTGTAGGGGTGGCCAGGGGAGAGGGAAGGCGGGTGGACAGGCCCTTTGCAAGGGGGATTGTGCGAGCCCGGTGGGTGTGCTGGCGCCTGGCACCACCGAGTGGGGGAGGCATCCGTGCCCTGTGCGGGTGGCTGGGATCTGGGAGGATGGTTGGCCTGGCCAGGCCTTTGGGGATGCCTGCGTGCAGAGTGCACACGCCTTGCATACAAGTCAGCTGCTTGGAGGGGCACGGAGACTAAGGTGGGGCTCCAAAGGACATTTGTTTGGAAAGGGACCACAGAGGATGGTTTAGGGTATGTGTATCCATCCCGGGAATTGTACATTTTCTCTCTGGGCACACTGCTTGGTTCTGGTGCTAGCTGACTCCCCGCCATGGCAAGGCAGGCTTGGGGAGTGGGCCTGGGTATCTGTTCCCAAATCATAGCCTCTCTGGGTCACGCAAGGCCAGGTATCATATACACATATGCTCGGGTGTGCCCGCACGCCCAGGGCACCATGAGGTTGCACCATGGCGCAAAGCAAGTGTTTGCACGCCTGCTACCTGTGTGTGAGGTGAAGGCCATGTATTATTTATCTGGCTGCTGGGTGCTTTATGTAAGGAAAGCCTCAGCAATCTGTGCCCTGGAGGCCTGTGTGCTGCGCAGTCAGCCCGGCAAACAAGCTCACCGAGCTCACCTGCGCCAGCAGAGGAGCCCCGGGTCTCAGAGGGGTGACTTCCTTCCCAGGTTGTGTCTGCAGCATCACTGTTCCTTTTCAGCAAGCTTGGGCCCCCTCGGCTCCCCACTTCGGGACATCCTGTCAGAGGGTGCTGTGTGTATCAGTGCTGGGACCATGGGGTGGGAGGGCCCCAGCACCACGACCTGTGTGCCCGTTTTGTCACTTGGACACAAACTCACAGTGCCCCTGGCTTCCGGGAATTCTCAGATCGGGGTTGTGTGTGTGGGGGGGTGGATCACACGCAGAAACGAGTAATCACAACGATGTGAAAAATATAAAGCAGTAGAGGGAGTGCAGTGTGGGTTCACTGCTGGGAGAGGGGGAACACAGCCAGCAGTGGAGACTCTGACACGTGGGGACAGCTGAGCTGAAGCTTGAAGGATGACGAGCATTTGTCTTTGGTGCTTACCACACGTGTTTTCCCAGTTAATTTTCTCAGTGGCTGTGTGAGTACAGAGCTGTTGTCATCCCTGTGTGCAGTTGAGGAAACTGAGACCAGGGGGAGTACATGACTCACTTGTCTGTGGCACATGGTGGGCCGGGATAGAGTCTTCCCCAAGCCAGGACCTCTCTTGCTGCCAGATCCTGCCTTGTAACTGAGCAATCCGCATGCCAGGTGCCATGCCAGGGACACAGGTGTCTGAAGATCAATGGGAACTGGTGCCTGGTCTAGGGCCTCCCAGTCTGCGGGGGAGAAGGGTATGGATGGCTGTAGACAGTGACCAGGACAGGAGGGCCCAAGAGCCTGTGGGTAGAGAAGGCACTGTGAATTCCTACCTTCCCAACCCTTTGCCACACATCCCCCCCCCACCACCACCGTAGGCAACCAGTGTAGCCCTTGGAATTATGGATGTGTTTTCAGTTGCTTCTCCATGGGGGTGGGGTAAGGAGCCCCTTAGGAGCTCTCCAGATGGGCGGGAAGTAGCTGTGCAGGGCAGGATGGGCTCCAGTGGTCTTACCTCACTCCTGTTGGCCCAATTCTGTGGAGCTCAGGCTTCCGTGGGGAGGCTGCTTGCTGCCCCTCTGCCTTTGAGGTTTCGCTCCTGGCTTCTGGCGGGCCAGCCCAGTGCTCTCCCCGAGAGGGGCTGAGCGCTATTTCTAGTCCCTGCTGTGCTCATTTCGCCCCGTAGATTCCCCAGAGTGGAAACAGCCTCAGTAGGGCGGAGAGCGCAGCCCTTCATTGTTTTGAAACCCAGTAACAGCCAATGCCCTTCTCACTCTGCAGGGCCTTTAGCCTGGGGGATTGGTGTGCGAGTTGTGGAAGGCCAGCAGCTGGGCCCTGGGAGAGCTCCGTGTGACTTGCTGAAGTCCTACTGTGTGCCAGGCTCCATGCTAGGCCTCAGGGGACCGGGTCCTGAGTGGCGGGTGGTGCTGCCTTCTAAAAGGCCGTGGTTGGCTGGGGGAGTCCAGTGTGTACCGACTATGGGCAAGACAGTGCTCTACTTGTGGTTGGAACAGAGGCCCTACAGGGGTGCAGAGGACAATAGGAACAACAGCTTGTTTATTAAGCACTTACTGTGTGCCAGGCACAGCCCACGGTGCTCTGATGAATGACTGTGTTTCATCCCCCACCACCTGATGAGGTGGGAATCCTTACCTTCCTGCTTTGCATCCAGCCTAGCAGGTTCAAGTGGAGGCAGTTGGTGGAGTTGAGCTCTGAATCAGAGGGTCTGACCCCAGAGCCCGTGCCCCCCCGCCCCACTCACCCCAGGTGGGCCGGAAGTTCTTCCTAGGAGCAAAGTACCCTATGCTGGGAAGGATGAGAAACCCTGGGCAGGGCTGTGGAGGCCTGGGATACCTCTCCTCCCAGACCTGGCTGCAGTGGGCCCCAGGCGTGAAGATCTTTGAAAGCCTCGCTAAGGACTTCGAACTTGACCCCAGCGTGGTCAGCAGGGAGCCCCTCAAGGTTTCAAAATGGAATTGAGGTCGTCAGCCATGTTTCACAGGCATATGGGACAGCATTACCATCTCCTCTCCTTTGCATATTTGTGCAGAGGCCTCTCTCCTCCCTCTCCTTTTTGCTCTCCCTCAAGACGCTTTTCCCACAGCCATATTTTTTAGGCCCTGTTGCCTTTCCCTTTTCTTCTTCCAGCAGCTTCTGGTTTTGACCACCCCGTGTAACCGGACCGGCCCCTGGAGCCCACCGTGGTCATTGTCGCAGGTTCGGCCCTTGAACTGGCTTCTGGGGCTGGCTGTGAAGTTGGCTGCACTGAACGGGACCCGCCTTCTTCCTGGCCATCCTGGGTCCTGTGGGACCTCGCCGACTTCCAGTGCTGTGGATCGTAGATCGGGCATGAGTGGGGGCTGCCTTTCCCTGTTGAGAACTGTGGTGACTCTGCGTCCCCCAGAGGCCCCCACACTCAGCAGCGCTGTAAATACAAGCAGAGGGGAGTAGGGACAGAGCAGGAGCTGGAGCCTGGGAATCTGGGTTTAACCACAGATCCCACCTGTGAGTTCCCTGGGGAGCTGCCTGCTCTCCAGGCCTGCTTTACTGGGTGTCCACGGGCATCGTTTGCGCAGCTGCTCCAGGCGCTGGGCCCCAGGGCTGAAAGACGAGGGGTCCTTGCTTGAGACATCCAGATCAGGTGTGGGAGCTCAGGGTGCAGGACAGGAGGGGAGGAGTCGGAAGATCGCTGAATCGGGAGAGGAGGCTGAGAATTCAGGAAGGGGACAAAGGGTCACTGGCAGCAGGAGAAAGAAACATGCCTTCAGGCCCTGGGGAGAGTGGAAGATAGGGGGTCAACCCAAGATAAGGGGTCCACCCGTCCTGGTGGCCTGGAGAGAGAGAGAGAATCGGGAAACATTTAAATCCTCACTCTCTTTTTAGCCCTGTGGCCTTGGGCAAGTTGCTTGCTGGGTTCTAGTTTCCATTCTTCAAAAAGAGGGGGGAAATGATGCAATTTCCTACATCTGTAAAATGGGATAATAATAGTGTGGCCGTCACTCAGCCGTAGTGACCTCACATCCTTGTGGAGCTCAGCACAGCACTCGGCACACGCACGGAGAACACTGCCTTTTCCTGTTCCACTGCAGGCCTTTTCAGTGTATTTAAGACAGAAGCGTGGCTGCGGCGCCCAGCTGGCTCAGTTGGTAGAACATATATATGCTTCTTGATCTCGGGGTCTTGAGTTCAAGCCCCGCGTTTGGTGTGGAGTCTACTTAAGAAAAAACCTATCTGAAAAAAAACAAAGAGGAAGAGATGTCAGCCTTGTCTGTGTGTTGGACAGTGCAGGGAGCAGCCCTCGCAGAGCTGAGTCCCGCTGGGGAGAGAGACCACAGACACAGGAGCAGTGACACTTGTCATGGGCCCCCTGAGGGAACATCAGGGCATTCCTGCCCAGACAGGCAGTTTTCTGAGGAGACAACATTGAAGCTGTTACCATGTGGAAGGAGAGGAAGCAGGTTCCAGGCAGAGGGAACAGCATGTGCAAAGCCAATGTCCAAGTTCTTGTCTGTAAAATTATGTGGCATCCAGTCTTCACCCCGTGGACTCTTCGGTGAATGTTAATCGAATATGATCTTCTCAGCCTCAAAGAGGACACAGGAAGGGGAAGAAGTAGAGTGGGAGGGGGCTGTTGAGAGAACTGGACGGTCTCACACTTTGGGGTTTTCTCATGTTCCTGCCCCTTCGTCTCTTCCTCTTTCCCAGTGGGATCCAGCGCAGGACCCTGAGGGCAGTGCGGCTAAGCCACCAGCGTTCTCTGCAGGGACTCATTCCTGGACCCTGCTTTACCTCGGACCCGGTGGGGAGGGATGGGGGAGCACCACAGTAGTGGGGACGGGAGGTGGGGTGCTGGAATTAGGCTGCACACCTAGGCAGCCTTTGTTCACATTTCTGCTGCTGCCCTTGGAGCAGAAACGCTGTGCTAGGACAGAACTTGGAAGGATGACATGTGGCCTCTGGTTGGTCGTTTCCAGTCTTGGGTTACCGATGGCTTCCCTGTCTGGCATGATATCTTGCACA